CTTTATATATACACAGAGAATATGAAACAATACCTCCTCCCACCCCACTGTCCTGCTGGTAATAGCTTATCTAAAGTGATCAACAGGTGGGCCATTTCCAGCACAAATCCAGGTTTTCTCACTCTCTACCCCCCCACACAAATTCACTCTCCTGCTGGTGCTAGCCCATCCAAAGTGACAACTCTTTACATAATCAAGTCGGGCTATTTCCTGCATAGATCCAGGTTTTCTCACATCCCCCCTACCCCCATACACACACAAACTAAGTTCTGTAGGCTCTTGGAAAGTTACTAAAATAGAACACACAGAATCAAGTTTAATTGGGATAAATGCAAGAAGAATCTGACACACAGAATCATAGAATCCTGGAACTGGAAGGGACCTTGAGAGACCATCTAGTCCAGTCCCCTGCACTCATGGCAGGACTAAGTATTATCTAGACCATCCCTGACTGGTGTTTGTCTAATCTGCTCTTAAAAATCTCCAATGATGGAGACTCCACAATTTTCCTAGGTAATTTATTCCAGTGCTTAACCACTCTGACAGTTAAGTTTTTCCTAATGTCCAACCTTAACCTCCCTTGCTGCAATTTAAGCCAATTGCTTCTTCTCCTATCCTCAGAGATTAAGAACAACAATTTTTCTTCCTCCTCCTTGTAACAGCCTTTTCATACCTGAAAACTGTTATCGTGTCCCCTCTCAGTCGTCTCTTTTCCAGACTAAACAAATCCAATTTTTTCAATCTTCCCTCATAGATCATGTTTTCTAGACCTTTACTCATTTTTGTTGCTCTTCTCCGGACTCTCTCCAGTTTCTCTACATCCTTTCTGAAATGTGGCGCCCACAACTGGACACAATACTCCAATTGAGGCCTAATCAGAGCAGAGTAGAGCAGAAGAATTACTTCTTGTGTCTTGCTTACAACACTCCTGCTAATACATCCCAGAATGATGTTTGCATTTTTTGCAACAGCATTACACTGTTGACTCATATTTAGCTTGTGGTCCGCTATGATCCCCAGATCCCTTTCCGCAGTACTCCTTCCTAGGCAGTCATTTCCCATTTTGTACGTGTGCAACTGATTGTTCCTTCCTAAATGGAGTACTTTGTATTTGTCCTTATTGAATTTCATCCTATTTACTTCAGATCATTTCTCCAGTTTGTCCAGATCATTTTGAATTTTAATCCTATCCTCCAAAGCACTTGCAACCCCTCCCAGCTTGGTATTGTCCGCAAACTTTACAAGTGTACTATGTATGCCATTATCTAAATCATTGATGAAGGTATTGAACAGAACCGGACCCAGAACTGATCCCTGCGGGACCCCACTCCTTATGCCCTTCCAGCATGACTGTGAATCACTGATAACTAGTCTCTGGGAATGATTTTCCAACCAGTTTTGCACCCACCTTATAGTAGCTCCACCTAAGTTGTATTTTCCTAGTTTGTTTATGAGAAGGTCATGCGAGACAGTATCAAAAGCTTTACTAAAGTAAAGATATACCACGTCTGCTGCTTCCCCCTGTCAAAGAAAGCTCTCAGGTTGGTTTGACATGATTTATTTTTGACAAATCCATGCGGACTGTTACTTATCACCTTATGTAAAATGGGAGGAAGTTTAGGTATCAAGATTCCAGGTTTCCAGTAAACACTTAAAGGATAATGTAAGAAAGAACTGCAGAGAAGAGGATACTGAGTGTGGTCGGAGTAAATACATTCATTTATGTCATCTATAATATGATAATGCCTTTACAAGGAGAAGTATTCTGTTTAGATGTATTGTTTATGCAGTTAGAAATGGAAAGATCCTATCATATAGTCCATTGCCTTTAAAGGGAAGTTGTAGGACTAGGGAAGGGATTGTTCTTCCTGTATAGCACTAAGGACATCTGGGACAATGCATGAAGTTTAGGGTTCCATGACATATAAAAATTGTTAAAGATAAAATTGATAGAAAATTGGACCTAGTTTAAGAGCTGAATTTATGCATCATTTACAGGAATTTATGCATCATGACTAAGGGGTGACATAATCACTGTCAGTAAATACCTGCCAAAAATTAACACAAAGTGGATCGGGCGGGACCTAATGTGCATAAATGAGCAGGGGGGAAAGTTTTAAAATGTATGATGATGTTTTTAGTAATACGTACATTGACTTTTAAACATCTGAAGTCCCCGGAGCTGCTACTGAGAATGGGGGCTACATTCTCTGTTATGTTTTAAAAGGGAGAACTTGTAGCTGTTTAGCCATAAAAAGTTTTATAACCATGAGGTCAGTTTGACAATTGAGTGACATCAAGTATGTCTATTTGGCAGGTTAAACTGCAGATAACACTGATGGAGATTCTGTGGAGACCTCAGTTCCCTCCTATAGTTATAGAGGGGGATAAGCCTGTGGCAATTGCCAGACTTGATCCCGTCCTCGAGAATGGCCAGTACCTGAAATCCCACAGTAGGCAGCTATGGTGTAGTCTGCCATCATGAAATGCTCATCCTAATCCCCAGTAGAGTTGATTTAAACCTTGAAGCAGGAGGGTTTATATCCCTTCCAAAATTTGTTAGCATTAACTATTATAACAACGAAATCCTTGTTATCTGTGTAAATGTTCAATCCTTCTTTGAATATTGCTAAATTCTAGGCCTTAATGACATGCTGTGGCAATGAGTTCCAATCTTATTATGCAGTATGTGTAAAAATATTTCCTTTGATCAGTTTTGACTTTCCCACCTTTCAAATTTCATTGAATGTCCCTTGTCCTTGCATTATGACACAGGGCAAACAGAAGTTCTCTATTTCAGTCTATAGACTGTCTTTAGCCCATCTATTATTTTATCTATTTTTATAATGTTCCTGCTTATTTCTCTTCTTTCTAAAGCAAGCAATCTCAGTCTTTTCAGTCTCTCTTCATATGTGAATTTTTCCAAGCACTTAATTTTTCTTGCCACTCTTCTGTGAACCTGCTCGAATTCTGCAATATCCTTTTTGGGATGAAATGACCCATATTGCACACACTATTTCAAATGAGGGGGAACCATTATGGGATGGAGAACACTGCATTCTGGGAAGTTGACCCCATACTCCCAGTCACCCCTGCATGACTTGTTTTTGTCCCGTCAGCATTTGCAAAAACTTCCCAAAACAGCCTGCTCTGGATGGTGGCTATTTGCACAGTATGATACTCACCCCGGTGCACTGTTCTTGGTGAGGACGCGCACCAACGACACAAGGAGCAAAGTAGGCACAAGCACAAAAGCTATGCAATACCTCCTGTGGCTCTATGCTGACATAAGTTAGGTCAGCAAAATTGTGTAGTGTTGGCATGGCCATAGTCAGAGAGAGTCCTTGGTCAGAGCTTAGGGCGTATCTACATTTAAAATGCTACAGCGGCACAGCTGCTTTGCTGCAGGTTTGCCGCTGTAGTACTTCAGTGTAGACACTACTTATGCTGATGGGAGGGCTTCTCCCATCAGTGTACGTCAGTGGTTCTCAGCAAGGGGCCCGTGTACCCCTGGGGGTACGCAGACGTCTTCCAGGGGGTACATCAGCTCATCTAGCTATTTGCCTAATTTTACAACACGCCACATAAAAAGTACTAGTGAAGTCAGTACAAATGAAAATTTCATACAGACAATGACATGTTTATACTGCTCTATATACTATACACTGAAATGTAAGTACAATATTTATATTCCAGTGGATTTATTTTATAATTATATGGTAAAAATTAGAAAGGAAGCAATTTTTCAGTAATAGTGTGCTGTGACACTTTTGTATTTTTATGTCTGATTTTGTAAGCAAGTAGTTTTTAAGTGAGGTGAAACTTGAGGGTACGCAAGAGAAATCAGACTCCTGAAAGGGGTGCAGTAGTCTGGAAAGGCTGAGAGTCACTGATGTAGGTAATCCACCTCCACCTCCCCAAGAGGCGGTAACTAGGTCTACACCAAGAATTAGATTGGTACAGCTGTGTTTCTCAGGGGTGGGAACAAGCCAATGTAAGTTCTTAGGGTATACCAGGGTTAGAGTCTCAGGCCTTGTCTCTACACTCAAGTTTTGCAGTTTAATTATGCTGGCATAGTTAAACCCCGCTATTGCAGATGCAATTATATGAGTATTAAAGTACTTATATTGGAAGAGCTTATTCTGGTTTGAAACATAAATGCATTATGAGTGTAGATGCACTGCTGTGGATTAGTTTGCATTGAGTTAGGCTCTGTCAATTGAAGTTGATAATACAGACATACCTCATAATGCAGGATATTAGGTGGTGCCCTCTGAACTATGGTAAAGGAACTCTAGAAGTTGCATCAAGAAAGTTAGCGCCATCCAAGCAATGCAGAAAATTAGCACCTGCCTAGGACAGCTTCAATACAATACAGAGAGAGGTGGACCCAAATTTAGAGGCCTCATGCCTCCAGGAGAGGCACCTTGTACTCACTGCCTGACCTCTGTGAGGGACAACTACTTGAAGCTTCTGGAGCTACCCTTTCTCTCATGATGCTTCTTGCTCCCTTTTCAAAGCACACAGATGAGATTGCACCATGTCTTTGTTTTTTGTGACAGCAGAAGGTTTATTTGTTAAATGTTAACGTGTGAAAAAAGTATAAGGTAAAAGCCTAGGTGTGCTGTTTTGCCCTCCTTAGAAAGAAGCAATCCCCTCCCAAAGAAGATGTCAGTTTAAAAGTCTACATTGGGTTTTGTGTTTAAATCAGCATTCCTGACTTTCCTTATTAAGTCACTTATATCAAACCTCATATTATTTTGTCCCTAAGTCACCCTGTGTATTCACTGAGGACGGCTGCTTTATAAGAGGCTCCTCATCCCTTAATGAAAAATCATAAAGCTTCTAGAAATTTTTAAATGTTTATGCAATTAATGCCTTACACATTCTTTCTCAAGTACTGTATATAATAAAGTACACTCCAGCCAAGCCCCTTGAGAGAATTACAGACTGGGGTTTATGTGAGCTCAGTGTAAATTATTCTCTGCCTTAATTTACAGACGTCCACTTGGACACTTTTTCAGCAGAATCAAGTAAGTGTGAAAATGACTGTCTTTTATTAAGAGCAAAGATTTGGAAATGCGGTGTTATTAAATTACTGGAATCCAGTGCTGAGGAACCATTTATTCATTTTGCTACCTTGAATATGGACAAATTAAGAATATGAATGAAAGGCTCTCTGAGAGCCAAAAGAAACATTTTAGACAGTTGTTTGGAATAGAGAGGTGTTTTAAAATAGTGGGCATTAGAAAGGGGGATATACCTGCAGGTCCTATTTAGTAATTTTTTTATCATCAAATGTGGCAAGATTTCTGAAGGCTCACACAAACAGACATATCTTTATCTTCTTGGGGAATGAGATCCATTCTAGGTTCTGCTTGCTCTGACTTCTTCATTGCACTCAGGATTGCATAAAAAGAAATCTTTTACTATTAGGTTCCCCACAGCACTGCTCCCTAGGCCACATTGTGCATTGAGGTAGCACTATTAGGGGAGTTGGGGCCAGAGCAGAGAAGGAGCTTTTCAAGCATAGAGACACTGGGCACCCCCATCTCCCTGTCATCTCCCCTGTCACAGGCTACTTAATACAGCCTCCTTCCCTAACAGCCCTACTCCTGCCCAGGCCTACACACATGCCTATGTTCCCCTCCCTTCCCTGTCTGCACAGCCCCATTCTTTCTCCCTGCCCCACTTTCCACTGCTCGGAAGATGCAAAACTATTGTAAATCCAGTTTAACTGACTGATATACTGTATGAATCTGCCCAGTGAATTTGTCCCTAAAAGTTAAAATAGAAAATTGATTTCAGGTTGATACTACAACTCTTCAGAATATTAGCACTTGCACATGGTAGCATTCCCTTTGAGTTCCTTGTTTGGAGTTCATACATGACATCTTTAGTCATTTGAAAAAAAAGCCAGACATTTCCAGACAAACCCTTCATTAAAATGGGGTTAAGGTTAGAAGTATACATAAGTAATCTAAGGGTAAAAACATTATGGAGATGTGGTAACTATCCCAAAACAAAGCCTTACAGAGCCAGAAATGTCAGAGTTAAGGTTGCACTTAAAAGAAATCCAAGCATAAGTGAGCTGTAGCTCACGAAAGCTTATGCTCAAATAAATTGGTTAGTCTGTAAGGTGCCAAAAGTCCTCCTTTTCTTTTTGCGAATACAGACTAACACGGCTGCTACTCTGAAACCAAGCATGTTAAGGTATGGGAATGCACAGTTAAGATACCCGAAATCCTTATCTCTGTCCTGTAGTCACACCAGGAGGGAAGGAATTTTTTTTTTTTAAACCAACCTAATATGTCTTTAAAAATCTGGCTAATCTAATCTGAAACCTCAAACACTAAAATGCATGATTGTAATTGCATGGGTGTTGAATGGGGTCAATGGAGGAAAGAGTTAAGGTTGTTTGGGTGTCCTAAGTGCACATTTCGAAATCTAACATGTTGAATTTCTTTTAACTTTAACCTTTAATTTTAATGTCCTGGCTCTGTAATACTTGTGTTTGGAATAATTACACCATCCCTGTAATGTTTTATGCTCTTAAATTACTGATGTGGTACTATGTAGTGTAGTTGTAGTCATGTCAGTCCCAGGATATTAGAGAGACAAGGTGGCTGAGATAATATGTTTTATTGGACTAACTTCTGTTGGTGGGAGCGACAAGCATTCCAGACACAGCTCTTCTGCATGTCTGGGAAAGGTCCTCCTAGCATCACAGCTAAATGCAATGTGGAACAGATCGTAGTTAGTGGCCGTTAACACCTCTGCAGTCATAGGACAAAGAGAGGTTTCAGAGTAACAGCTGTGTTAGTCTGTATTCGCAAAAAGAAAAGGAGTACTTGTGGCACCTTAGAGACTAACCAATTTATTTGAGCATAAGCTTTCGTGAGCTACAGCTCACTTCATTGGATGCACGAAAGCTTATGCTCAAATAAATTGGTTAGTCTCTAAGGTGCCACAAGTACTCCTTTTCTTTTTAGGACAAAGAGAGGGGTTAGTGGGTTCCAGATCGTTGTAATAAATCACAAATCCAGTGTCTCTGTTCAGTCCATGATTGTTAGTGTCTAGCAGAATGATGAATTTAAGCTTCCAGGCTCATCTTTTGCACATGTTGTGCCGGTTTACTTTGAGAATGAGGACTGATAGATCAGTGATTGCTTTGTGAAAAGTGTTTGCCCACAGGTGATAGGGTGTTTTTGTCTTTTATCATTTTCCTGTGTGAGTTCATTTGAGAGCATTGTGATTTTCTGGTTTTACCCACGTAGTTGTTATTGGGGCATCTAGTGCACTGCATAAGGTACACCTCATGTGCTAGGCAGGCATAGGACCCATGGATCTTGAAAGGTGTTTTGTGGGTGATGTTGATCATTTTAGCAGTGGAGATACGTCTGCAGGTTTTGCATCTATTCTGGCAGGGTCTAGTGTCGCTTTGAGTTGGTGTGTACTGCTTTATGGGGAGTTTGCTTCTGATGATGAGCTTGGAGAGGTTGGCGGGGAGGGGTTGTTTGAAGGTCAGAAATGGGAGTTCAGGAAATATTTCTTTCAGGACGGGGTCCCCATCAAGTATGGGTTGTTGTTGTTTGATGATACCCCGTATGGTTTCCTGTGTGGGGTAGCAGGTGACAACTAGGGGTGTGTGGTCAGAGGGGATATTATTTCTGTATTGAAGCAGGCCCTCTTACAATATTTGGGTGGCCCATTCCATGATGAGATCTACTTCTCTGGTGGAGTGTCCTTGTTTGGTGAAGGCAGTTTTAAGTGTGTTAAGGTGTAGATCTTGGACTTTCTCCTCATAGCATATTCTGTGGTATCTGAGAGCCTGGCTGTAGACATAACAGATTTCTTAGTGTGTTTGGAGTGGTTACTGGATCTGTGAAGGTAGGTGTGGTGAGCCGTGGGTTTCTTGTATATGGTTGTCTGTAGGGTTCCATTGCTGAAGCTGAATGTGGTGTCCAGGAAGCTGATGCTAGTGTGGGAGTGTTCCACAGAGAGTTTAATGGATGGGGTGGTGACTGTTTTAAACTGTGGTGGAAATCCATGAGGGAGTTTAAGCTGTTGGTCCAGAGGATGAAAATATTATCAGTGTATCTCAGGTATATCATTGGTTTTGTGGTGCATTTGTCTTGAAATTCTTCTTCAAGGTGGCCCATGAAGAGGTTGGCATATTGGGGAGCAGTCCTAGTATCCCTGGCTGCTCCCATGGTTTGGATAAAGTGTTGTTGAATGGAAAGTTGCTGTTGGTGAAGCTGAAATGGATGAATTTGGCAATGTGTGTTGGTGTGGATATCTGAGTGTTCTTCATTGTCTTGTAAATATTTGAGGCAGGCAGGTATGCTGTCATTCTGAGAGGTGTTGTTGTATAGGGAAGTGACATCCCTGATGATGAGGACAGTGTTCTGAGGGAGCAAGTTAATACTGTGGAGTTTGTGGAGGAAGTCAATTATGACGTGGAGGAAGCTGGCCCTTTGTGATGTGGTACTGTCAGCCTTAACTCCATTTTAGCATTGTTTTTTGTCTGGAAGTTGCTGGAGAGCACATATCAGCATGTATAAGGAAGAACTATAGTTGTACTACTTTTATAGATTCTTTCATTCACAGATCTCAAGTGCTTTACAAATGTTACTGGACATCTCAACACTCCTGTGAAATGAGAGTTTTGTGATGTGCATTTTACAGATGCAGAAAAACGCAGGTGCAGAGCGGCCAAGTGATGGGGAAAAGTGAAGGTGCAGAGAGGCAAAGTGATGTACCTAAAGTCATATAGTGAGTTGGGGAGAGTTAGGGAGTGAAATCTGATTCCATTCCTCTTTTCTTGCCACTAGCATTGTGTGGTCATGCTAATGTGAAATACATTTCCCTTTTCTTACGTTTTACGTTTTGGGGATTTTTTTTTTTTTTGTTCTGGTTAATTCCAGATGCTTGCAGAACAGGATATTTTATTGCCCACAACAATTTTACTTTCTGTTCATTTCTCCCAGGTAAACGCAAAGCATTGAAGTTGAATTTTGCAAATCCACCTTTCAAATCCACAGCAAGATTTACTCTCAATACGTCTGGAGTTCCTTTCCAAAATCCTCACATGTGAGTATAAAATCAAGGCTCCACTGATGAAACAATTCTGAAATTATTCTTCTAACATGTAATGTTAATTTAAAGGTAGTTTCATTGCTTCAGTTATATTATAGACTGTTCAAAGAAATGCTAGTTTGAATCAGTGTAAAAGGGTTTGTTTTAATGATTTTTAATAAATTTGAAAAAGGATAAGCTAGGACTCTTCCTGTCTTAAATTGGGGCTACTGCCTTTCAGGATTGGACAGAGAGCTGTCACTTAAATTATAGCTGATACACACGCAGATTGTGCCTATACCTAATTTCCAGTTCTGTTCACTGTCATTTTCCTGTCTCTCTATTTAGTGCTTATTGCTTTTCATTAAAGACAAGTTCTTGTTCCTATGTTTACTTGTGAAAGACATATAAATGTGATACACCATGTAGCGCTAAAATGAAAAGTAGTAGACTGAAGAATGTAATTTTACCAAAATCCATATCTTGGGGAATTACTTAGTGACTAGATCTCACTGAATTTCCAAGCAAGATAGTCAGGGATAGCTTTATGTAAAAGTTGAATGTAAGTGGAGAACAGAACTGCTTCTGACATTAGACATGATAAAATGTCACAGAAAATATTAGCTTTGTATCCTCAGATCCACCAATCTGGATTGATGGGTGACCCACCCACAACCTGTAAGTGTGGCAGAGCTCAGCTAGTGTGCAAAGATGTCCCTAATTTTTCCTCTTCAGGTTTCTTTACCAGATATCAAGAGTTTTGCCAAAGGCGAGTCTCAGAGATTGTCCCTGAAGTTTCCCCAGCTGTCTGTGGTGCTCCTGGACTCTTTGGTGGTGTTTTTGTTTTTAATATGCTTCTGCTTTGCATGTTGCTGCACCCTCCCTTTAGCTCAGTGCCTTCTACTTCCCCAGAATATATTCCCTGAAATTTGTTCCTGTCTCTGGTAGCTCCCTCTGTTTTGGAGCTTTTTGAGCAAGTTTCAGCTGAGTTAGGAAAATATTTCTGATACCCAAGTAGCCAGTGCTGGTAGGTGAAAAATATAGAAACTTCCTGTGAGCACTTCAGCAGATCTCAGGGACATCATCCTCCCAGAACCAGGATAGAGGTTTCCAGCTCTCTTTTCCTTAAAATGCCCTACACTTAGGGGCCATTCTCTCTCTCCCCTTTTAAGCACAAACAGATTGTGTCATTGGCTGGAGGATTCCAGAATTTTCCAGTTAGTCAGTCTCTTTATATCTGATGATTTTTCACAGGAGGTTACCTTGGAGCCTTTCCTTTTTTCAGGCCTCTCTCTCCACCCTGCTTCATAAAGTATTCAGTCTCCCCTAGTGGGTCATCTCTAGTGACTTGCCTTCACAGTGTACCTATTTCCAGTGGTCTCTGTCTTGGAGTCTATCTGGGAAATAGTGGTTCCTGTCAAGCATGGAAGAATCTTCTGCCTGAAGCCGTGACATCTTAAGTTCCATATTTATGCAAGTGACTCCGGTCACATTGCTCTTTAGTAAGTACTACTCTGGTGATGTGGGCATTGCAGTTGTGAAGGGGGCTGGAGACCAGGATGTTCGCTAGGATAATTGGTTCTCTGGAGCACAGTGAATTTGGGCTTGTTCTGGGTTAGATACAGTGTTAAACTAACAGAAGGTAAAGATGGTACGATGTGTGTCTGCTAAGATGGTGTCTGCTTTTTCTGTTTGAAGGGTGGATTAGCTCATTTTTATAGACTCAGAGAGGTGTGTGACCTGCCTTATCACGAATTGTGTTTCAGGATTGTTTCTTGCTGTGGGTGGCCTGGACAAGCTGAGAGAACATCTTTTTTTATCCTTGTGCTCTTTATGGTTGTCCTTTCTGGGTTCTGTTTTTCAAAGACAACACTCTTGTCTTTTGCTTGTACTCCTTGCCCAGTTCCAGAGGTCCGTGCTCCTCTAGACACTGATGGGGGCTCCAGCATGTGACTGCAAATGCGCTTTTCCCTCTGTGGAGAGGCCTCTCCAGTCCCTGAGATGGGTTGGAACTGTTTTTCTCTCTTTTGATGAGAAAGATTGCTGGATGATTGATTTGGATTGGATATTTCAGACCATCTGGCTCCCATTTTTCAAGGGCCATTCTGACTGAGGTTGTTTTCTATTTATTATGTTGCTGCTTCTTCTACAAGCCTTGTGGATTGAGTGGTGTTGGGCTTTTTGGTTTCATGTGTCAGTGCTGGCTCAGCACAGTAATGCTGACCTCCCCGTCTTGATGGGTTTTGCTGTATGCATCCCGTTGGTCCAGATGGGTGGATCTGAAGATACAGAGAGGTTAATTTCTCACATGAAATTTAGGTTTCTGTGACTTGGATCCACCAATCCGGAGGCTGTCCCATTGTATCTGCCTCCAAAAGGGCAGAATTTGGTATTGTCAAATTATTCTTTTACCTTTTTCTTCTCTGAGCTCTGGAAATAACTTATGGGAAGCTGAGAGGAAGCGGTTAGTAGTGACCAACAGGTGCCACAAAATGTAATTGCCTATTAGTTGTGTTCTGCTTGATTGACAGGTTGTGATCGGGGAACTGATCAGGCTGGATTGGTGGATTTTCAGGTAAGAAATTGTGGTTTCTTATTATGCAAATGGAGAGATGGGTAATGAATGGGGTTTTCTGTTCTGTTGAGGCCTTTGACAGGAAGGAGGAAGTGTCCGTATAAATTCTGCTGCTGAAACAAAGATGCCACTACAGACGAGGTGACCAAAGTATATTCCACAGGCCAAATGTGTCCTTCAGAATTTCACAGTGTAGCCTGAAGTCACCTTATATTTCATGCAGAGGAGAACCATCCAAAGACCACAGTTCTCAACAAGCAGTGCTCTCCATATTGAGCCAAATGATCTGACAGAGCTGCCTGTTGGCTTTTAAAGTCTTTGTGGGCCATAGCTCTACTAAATATGAGGATGGCTGCAACCCAGCCCACCTAGGTGTGGCCCTCCTACTCCTGCCAGTGGGCAGAGATTAGCCCCCCTCCCCCACACTCTCCATCTGTGAGCTCTTCTTGTCATCTTACTTGTTGAAAAAAATGGAGACCAGTGTGAAAAAATAGAATCCGAGATAACCTCGAGTTAGGAGCAGAGTTTTAGCTTCTGTGATTCTGAGGCAGAGCAGTAGCCATGTGCATTGGCTAAATGATGCCAGAGGGAGGGGAAAGATCAGCACTAAACCAGCTGGAAGTGCTTCAAGTAGAGATTTGAGGTACACGGGGAAGCTTCCATAGTGACAGCTGTGTTGTGCCTGGCTCAGTTCACTGTGATTAGCCAATCATTTCCTTTAATAGTAAATAAACATCTCAGTTTTTTGAAAGTAAGTTTTTTTGGGGCAGTTTTAGTATGTGACCTGGGGTAAAATTTTCAAAAGTGACCTTACGTCAGATTTTTAGAGGTATTTAGGTGCCTAACTACCTTTAAAAATATGGGCTGTAGGCATTTAGGAGCCTAACCCCAAGACTCTATGTGTGGTGATAGAGGAATCACACACACTCACCTCCCAGCCCATTGGAGCAGTCAGTCAGTGTATCTCTGCGGGAGTTATGCTCCATTACAAGGGACCGGAAAGTTGAAAGAAGAGGATGTTGATTAACTAAATACCCTGTGCACCTGCTCAGTGCAGAAAATGGAGGGTAACATCCATTTGTGTCAGTGGCAAAACTTTCATTGACTTCAGCGGGGCTATGATTTCACCCTCAACATTTTCTAAATTTGGGGTAAATCTGTTAAGATCTGGGCGGGAGTTAGACTCACCTTTAAATAAAAGCCTGACTCAGAGTGACTTGGACTGAGATTATAAACTGGGATGTATTTCAAAACAAAGCCTTAACCAGTCTGCAACTTGGCTCCCTGAACACCCACTCCTACATGATCCCAGAAGGCAACACCACCTTAATGTAGTCACCAGAGGGAGGGGAGAAGTCTTCACCTCTGAACCTTACTTGGTCTGACAGAACCTGGATTTTAACTTGAGGGCAGAGGGTGCAGCGCATCTGAAATATCAGGCTCCTATTGAGTAGCTGGATGCAACTGGAGGTTACTTTTTGAAGTATCTTTGTGTTTGTTGGGTTAATCTCCCGTGGACAATTCATACTGTGGATTTTGTTTTTAAAAACTTTCTTCCTCTGAATAAAGGGCCCGTGGCTGTGAGGCTTGGGTACTTCTGAGAAATCAAGTTAATTGCCCTTGTTCTGGATGACATTGGTGTGGCTGCTTTATGGGAAGGTCCAGACTGGAGGATGTCAATGTGAAGCATCTAATACAGTAGTCTCTAACCTTTTTACGCAGAAGATCACTTTTTGAATTTAAGTTCAACCCAGGATCTGCCCTGCCCCTTCCCCAAAGCTCTGCCTCCTCCCTCTATTGCTCGCTCTCCCCCACCCTTACTCATTTTCACTGGGCTGGGGCAGGGGGTTGGGGTTCGGGAGGGGGTGTGGGCTCTGGGCTGGGGATGAGGGGTTCGGAGTGTGGGAGGGGGCTCCGGGCTGAGCCTGGGGCAGGAGGTTGGGGTGCAGGAGGGGGTGAGGGGTGCAAGCCCTGGGAAGGAGTTTGGGTGCAGGAGGGAGCTCTGGGCTGGGGCAGAGTGTTGGGGTGCAGAAGGGGGTGATGGATGCAAGCTCTGTGAGGGAGTTTGGGTGCAGGAGGGGGCTCCGGGCTGGGCAGAGTGTTGGGGTGCAGGAGGAGTTGCGGTGTGCAGGCTCTGGGAGGGAGTTTGTGTACAGAGGGAGCTCTGGGCTGGGGCAGAATGTTTGGGTGCAGAAGGGGGTGAGGGGAGCAAGCTCTGTGAGGGAGTTTTGGTGCAGGAGGGGGCTCTGGGCTGGGGCAGAGTGTTGGGGTGAAGGATGGGGTTTGGGGTGCTGGCTCTGGGAGGGGGCTCTGGGCTGGGGCAGGTGCTTGGGGTGCAGGAGGGGGTTCAGGCTGCAGGAAAGGGAATGGGGTGCTGGCTCTGGGAGGTGGCTCAGGGCTGGAGCAGGGGTTTGGGGTTGAGGAGGGGATTCAGGGTGCA